TTCCTTTAGGGCCCCCCCTTCCTTTTTGGAAAGGGATTATTCAGCCCCCCCCTGTGGGGCCCTGAGGTGCTTAAAGAAAAAGGGTTCCCCCGGTTTTTTGAAGGGAAAAGGAGCCCGAAACTTCACCCCCCCGGGGGAACCCTTAACTTCCCTTCCCTTTTGTTGGGGTTTAGGGGGGGGTAAAAAGGGTTTTTCAGCTATCCGGGGGCCACCCCTGGATAGCCCGCGCCCAAGGGGGGCTTCGCCCCCGGGGGGGTGGTTCCATTTTAGGGGGCCCCCCCCCCCCCCCGCCACCTCTTCTCGTGTCCAAGCGTCCAATGGCTCTCTTGCACAATCACGAGGGGTCGCCATACTCGAAACGCTCGGACACAGTCAGTGATTTCTCAAACCAGCTCTCTCACCGCTTTGTGGGCGAAAAAGAGCCATGGTTTTTCCACATCCAGCTCTCTCACATCCAAGACGATGCCCTCCCCGTTCAGCTCTCACCTCTAATTCACATATCGCCGTTCCCTTAGAACCTCCAGGGCATTTCTAACCCCCGCCCCAGGTTCTCACCTTTGCGCGCGCGTGGCCGTCTCCATCCGACGAAGCCTTGTCGCAGAAGTAGCCGCACAGAACACACAGAGCCTGCGGACGAAGCATGACAGCGGTCAAGACGCGTAGAGTGGGGCAGGTAGCAGGTAAGGGAGAAAGCGACGACCAACGCCAGGCACTTGTGCGATGCTGGCGGTCGGACCGAGAGAATCACGTACTGCTGTAGCGCCGCTTTTCCATCGAAACCCCTTGCCGATGACAAAAATACCAATCATGTATCCCCCGACTCCAAGACCAAAAACCAAAAACGGAACTTGAGCACGGCATGGCATGGCATGTAGTAGTACAGGTGTACATACAACAGAGAATGAGCCAACAGCCCTCGAAACGAACAAAAATTTACAACAACAAAACAATTCCGACCCCGACCCCGAGGCACAATGTCCACCTCAGATCCTGGTAGGGGACACGCGCCATACACCCCCAGTTTTGTGGGCTTCTCTTCTCTTGCAAACCTCGGACGTCTCCCCGGTGTGCAAGCTTGTGCTGCATTCGCGCGTCCGTCCATCGTCTACTACTCCCGACAATGACGATGGCAGCGATGACGGCACTAGTGCGGTCGTGGGTGTGTAAATACGGTGCATTTTGCTTGTGTGTCGAGTGGTCCCACGCACGTTTGTTTTGGTGGGTCCTGTATGCTATGCTATGCTATGCTATGCTATGCTATGTAATGCTTCTCCAAACTTTGCTGACCGTGACAGCGAACGAACGAACGGCGCCTACAACCACCTCTGTGTGTGTGTGTGTCTTTGTTTGTTAGCGTCGACCTCGCTAACCGACTGACCAACGAAAAGACGTTAATCTCAGTGCAGTTGAAAACAGAGAGTTCTTCCATGGGCCATGATCTGGGACCCCGTGAGTGAGTGAGTGAGTGTGTGTATGTGTGTGTGCGAGACATACACCCCCCTCCGGGGTCTCTGGCGACCGCCCGCTATTCATCTCATCTACGGCGTCGTCGTTGTCGACGACGATAGCGACAACGACAACAACAACAACAACAACAACAACAACAACAGCGACGACGACGACAACAACAACAACAACAACAACAACAACAACAACAACAAACAACAAACAAACAACACGGACGACGACGGCGAGAGTTCACGCGACAACGACAACGAGCGCACCTGCCACGCCCGCAGCTTGCGGCCGTAGGCGACCGGGTCGGTGATGCCGGCCTGCCTCGCCTCCTTGCTCGACAGCACCTCCATCAGGCGGACGGTTATAGCGCCCAGCACCGCCCTAGCGCCCTGCCGCCGATCGATCGGACGGGCGAGAGGGCGAAGGAGAACACAAGAAAAAGTCACAGATTGTACACACGAACGGTAGTTCTCCCATGTGTCCGGCACCGGCGAATGCACATCTCTCTTTCCATTCGATGGGCCGTTCCGATTGTGGTAGTTCTGTCTCTCTGTCTCTCTGTCTGTCCACGCCAGTTCCGAAACACACCAAACACCACGTAACGCGATTTACAGTTTTTTTGGCCAGAGTGCATGCAAGGTACCAAAACCACTGAGCAAAAGCCAGAAAAAAATAGGCACTACGTGTAGGACACTGCTGTCGTTCAACTACTGCAACCCCCCGTGTCGGCAACAACCCTTTCATTGGAGAGCGGGTTAGCGTTTGTTCTATCGTGCCGCATGACTGACGTATTTTCATTGGTCAGCCGGTTAGCGCGGTCGACGCTAGACAAAGAAAAAAAAACACACACACACCACCACCTTGAGAACCATTTTCTGTTTTCAATCGCACTGAGGCGGACGTCTTTTCATTGGTCAGCCGGTTGGCGCTGTCGATGCCCAAGAATAAAAACGCAAACACGCACTGCATGATTTCTCTTTTGGTTTTAACTGCTGCCGAGCACCTGGTCGCCAATCGCGGCGGATGCGATGAGCGACTTCTCGACGAAGAGGAGGAGCATGAAACGCGGGGCTTCCGCTGCGACGGCGGCGCTGAGGGCGGGTGGCGAAAGGAACGACAAAATACGCACAACAGATGGCGGGGTGTTCTTGGACTTGTGCCCCATGAGTGCACACATACAGCCCGCCACGGGACAAGATTTGTTTCGTACTCGGAGAAGTTAGTTTTGATAATCGGGAATTGGAGAGGCCAAAATCGTTCCTGCCCCGAGGGGAGACAGCAGCCTCGAAACAAACACACACACAGCAAGAAACAAGGGAGAAAAAAAACAGAAGCAACGACAACTCGCCATCGTTTTCCCGCCTGACGCTGTACTGTCTGTAGGACCCCTCAGGTGTGCTACCAAAGGGTTCATGCTGTCGTTTTGTCTTCAAATCTGCCTGCTTTTAATCGCGATCCAACTCCCGTTCTATTTGGTTTGCCACTGAGCAAAACAAAACAGCCCAAAAGGCAACCAACGTCTCAACTCGTGTGTGTATGCCATTTACGTCGCGAAACAGATCGGCTCGAAACCTCACGTTACTCACGCTGCGCGTTATATGCACGAGCAGGCGTTGCACTGTAAACACTGCCTAGGATCAACAACTACGCCAGGCCATTGTAGTGCCCGAAACACGAGGTGTGTGGATTCTGGTAGCATGGCCATGAATACACATTTTCTGCGCGACCTCATATGCTGCTGCTGCTGCTGCTGCTGCTGCTGCTGCTGCTGCTGCTGCTGCTGCTGCTGCTGCGGCTGCTGCCGATGTCTTATCATGTTTCAGCCGAGCACCTTCTCTACAGTAACGCCCGCAACCAAACACCGACACCAACCGCAGCTGTTACCAAGCATAGCAGTTCGAAAAACCAAACAACGGACCGAATTATGGATCAGGCAGGGAGACGGATTCCATCAGATATTCCATCAGATACAGTACCTGCTCCCTTCGCCGTTGGAGAGGTTCTCTATCCCCTGTCCCCGCTCCTTGAATAGCAGGAGTTCAACCAGCCCGGGCACTAGATTGATCAGACTTCCTGCAAGACAAGGGGGTGAGGAGGGAGGGGGGGGGGTACTCCTGTAAACGCATGCCGTAATCGTTAGACCATAGAATTCGCAGCCCTACAATGCCGGGACGGAGCGATATGCCGGGTATTCGCCGGCCCAGGCTGCGTTTCGCAAGGATCAACCAGAAGCTGGTCATCATCGGGGGGGGGGGTTGGTGTAGGTATGCGCAAGTGGGATTCGGGGAGAAGGAGGAGACGTGTCGAGAACGACAATACGAAATGTTGGTCGGAAATTGCGCGATGTATGTACCACATGTAGCCTTGTGATTCGATGGTGGTATGTTGAAGACTCGAAAAGGGAGGACACGAACAAGGAAATCAACAGGGGGGCACAGGGAGAGCTAGCTGCTGTAAGAGAGGGTCACCCGCAGCTCTCTACCAGGGTTGTCACCATACCATGGATGGAGGCAAGCACCTAACGCTACTAGAAATGTCATGTTCTGCCAGGGTCACCCGCAGCTCTCTACCAGGGTTGTCACCATACCATGGATGGAGGCAAGCACCTAACGCTACTAGAAATGTCATGTTCTGCCAGAGAAAAATCAGAAACAATCGAGGTCACCCAACAACAGCAAACATTAGCCCCCCGCCCCCTGCACGCCTCCACGCATCGAAAACCCAGCTCTGAAGACCGACTGGCCGACCTGGACTCTGTCTTCCGTGCACCGTCAGCATCCCGACAACCGCACGCAGGACGTTGGACTTGTTGTTGCTGGCACCAAACTCGAGGATCGCCGAAAACGCCTCCACCACGCATGATGACGACGACGACGATGGGGATGACGACGGCGATCCCTGAGGGCATGAAATGTCCAAAACATAGCCGGCAAGGACGACGGAAGGAAGGAAGGAAGGAAGGCACGACGGCGGCACCAGGGGGTGGCGGTGGGGGTAGTCGGGTCAGTTTTTAAGCTTATCCTTGCCCTAGATAGTCGTCTGGCCGCAGGTCACGCGCCATCCCTTCCGAGAAAGGGGCCACTGTCCCTTCACATCTCTCAGGGGGCACCGCCAACACTAGGGTGTCCCCTACGTCATAGAACTGTCTGACTTGAGCTCGCGGGGGGGGGCAGGGGGGGCTCTAGTCAAGAAAAGTACCAGGAATGCCAACGAAGACGGCGCGGCTACTGCTGCATAGCCTTCGAGCCACAGCACGAAAATAACCCTCCAGAAGCCGGAGCGGGGCCTAGTCGTCCCCTCTCACACCAAAAGGGGGTGTGGCCACCGTCCACTTTGTCCCATGGCGCGTACGACCTATGCGCACCTCCGGCGGGCGTGCTTGGGCGGCGCAACCAGACCCTTGCGCGGCTGGGGCTGCGGCTGGGGCTGCGGCGGCGGGCGGCGCGAGACCGGTGAGCTCCGGCACCGCCAGGAGCGAGGGGTGCAGGACGGCCGAAACCAAGTTCCGGACTAGCGGCAGCTGCGGCCGACGGACCTCCTTGAACACGCCCCACACCACCTGGCGGAGGGAACGGGAAGCCACGGACGGGGAAACCAGACGACGAAGAAGAAGAACAAAATCAGGACCAAATACTTGTTAAAGAACCCCGTCAGCCGAGGCCGCCAGAGAGATAAGAGAGAGAGAGCGTACGCGTGTTTCCATGTTTGCTTTGAACGCCTTCTCCGGAACGAATGCTGGCTTGCACCTCTCATATCTTCTCCTCCGCGAGACCCGCCCTTGCCTCTGAAAGCCGCTGCTTCCTTTCTTCGACTCGGTGCACAACTTGCAAGAAAGGCCAACGGCCGACCCCACGACAGAGGGTTAATTAAGACCCCAAGAGCTATTGAGATCGTGCTCTACGACATTCTCCGTCCGGCTCCACAGATCCACAGATGCTGCGGTAGTTGTTTGCCCCCGAGCTGAATATTATCTTAAGGAGTAACATGTTGAGGGGAAACGCCTCTGCGACAAAGCCTGGCGTCCTGAAACTCAACAAACAACCATGAACATAACGTGCCCCCCCCCCCCCCCCCCAAACCAACTTGGTCGAATTGGGCTGTTTGAAAAAAGTTTTAAAAAGGGCAAACCAACCCCCCCCACTTTTTTCCCACCC